CCTTCCCTTCTCCTCCCCATCTAAATTAAAACTAGTAGTAAAAAAAGATTATTAGCTATGTCCCATACGTAAAAAAATTGCTAAAAAACATCGAGTTATTCATCATTTTCTAAATCCCGAAGGATTCTCCTTCTGGATTGGATTGTAAATTTGATAGTTTTAAATTCATCCTGCAAGGGTGCAGGAAAAGAGTAAGTGGAAATTCCCCCGGGAAGGGGGGGAGGGGGTATGTGAGTTGTATAAGTAGAAATGTATGTAAATTAATACTGGGAACTGTACTGCATAAATATTGAATCATGTGTAAAACTCATCAAGAAGAATGCTAACATACAGATAGAATATATACTCACAGACAGATAAAATATATACTCACAGACAGATAGAATAGATACTCACAGATAGATAGAATAGATACTCACAGACAGATAGAATATATACTCACAGACAGATAGTATATATACTCACAGATATGTTCAGAAATGCAAGTTAGAGGAACCAAAAAACCGTTTGCATCCTGGTTATACTGTTTTTCAATATCCTGATCTATACATTATCTATATATCCTCTATGTATCCTCTATGTATCCTCTACTTATCCTCTATGAATCCTCTATGTATCCGCAATGTATCCTCGATGTATCCTCGATGTATCCTCTATGTATCCTTTATGTATCCTCTATGTTTCCTATATATATGTATCCTCCATGCATCCTCTATGTATCCTCTATGTATCCTCTATGTATCCTCTATGTATCCTCTATGTATCCTCTATGTATCCTATATGTATCCTCTTTGTATCCTCTATTTATACTCTATGTATCCTCTATGTTTCCTCTATGTATCCTTTATGTATCCTCTATGTTTCCTATATATATGTATCCTCCATGTATCCTCTATGTATTCTCTATGTATCCTATATGTATCCTCTTTGTATCCCCTATTTATCCTCTATGTATCCTCTATGTTTCCTCTATGTATCCTTTATGTATCCTCTATGTTTCCTTTATATATGTATCCTCCATGTATCCTCTATTTATCCTCTATGTATCCTCCATGTATCCTCTTTGTATCCCCTATTTATCCTCTATGTATCCTCTATGTATCCTCTATTTATCCTCTATGTATCTTCTAGTGTACTTGAAGGATTAAATAAACATAGTTTCAACATTTATTAATGTTTGTTTTGTCTCAAGATCTATACTTACAAACATACGTTTTAAATACATAAGACAAGAGGGTGGGGGGTTAAGAATGAAAGATGTTAATACTTTACGAGGACTTAAAAGTGTCAAACAAGTCACCAGAATCAATAATAACTTATTATAGTGTGAATAAACATACGACCAAATTTCTTATTTTGTATCAACTCCTTCAATCCTGTATAAAATATGCTTTAAATTTATTAAGATATAATTACTTTAACGAACGTGTTCCTTAAATAATTGATGTATTTAGTTTAGTTGGACATTACAGTCTGAGTATTAAAAACAGAAAAGCTTTCAACCCGGAAAAATAAGTTTAAGAGGTTTCGTGGTTTTAGTTTACATTTTACAAGCAGAGAAGAGCGGGGGAACAGAAAATTAACAGAAGAGCAAGAGAGAGAGAGAGAGAGAGAGAGAGAGAGAGAGAGAGAGAGAGAGAACATGAGTAGAGCCGGAAAGAGAAAAGAAGGAGACGGAGAGAAAGAGAAAAAAGGAAAATGAACGAGAAAATGAGGAGATACGGAAGGTGAGGAGAGAGGTAGAGAGAAAAGAAGAAGAGGAGGAGAGAGAAATTAAGTATAAGGGGATAACGAAAAAAGAAGAGGAGGAGAGAGAAAATGAGGACGGGTGAGAGATGTAAGGAGGAAAAAACGAAAGAGAAATTGAGGACAGGGGTAAAATAAAATGAGGAGAAAGGAGAAGAGAAAATAAGGAGAGGGGAGAGAGAAAATTAAAAGATTCTGAAAGAAAAAAGGAGGAGAGGGGGAACAAAACAAGCATAGGTTCNCCCCTCCCCTCGTCCATATCAGATTCGTCCACACAACATAAATCTATGTTGGCAACGTCCCTTGATTTCGTCTCGAGATTGAGAACATAAAAAACTGCCGCACATACCATTCAGCTTAAATATTTAAACAAAAAATAGTTCTTCTCCAATACCTAGACGTTTAGGGACATTAAACTGGGTCCTTTCAATCCTCCAGGGTTAGTTGAACCAATAAATCAAAGATATTTAAACCTTAAGTGGTAAAATATCAAGACAACTGTAAGTTACAAATCATAAATGGTTCAATCCAAATAGTAGATAATCAAGTACTTGATAATCTATTAGGTTCAGTCGTTTTTTTCAATTGGGGTTTCCAGCGAAAGAAAACTTTCACGAAAAAATGCGAAATTTCGCGAAAATGAATTTTGCGAAAGGAATTTCACATTAAATTTTCGCGAAACAAAAAATAAGAAATTTTCCGAAAAAAAGTGAAATTTTTTTAAATTTCTTTTTCGTGATTTTTTTTTTTTCGCAAAACAGATTAACGCAAAAAAGGCAATAATGTTCGCGCTTTTTTTAGCAA